GTCCAGGGATTACGCTCACTTTCGCTCTCTACAGCCCTGGAATATGTCATAGCAACATTTAAGGCTCAGTGTGCGCCACCTTGTGGATGAGACAAGAAGACAGGCTTTGAAGTCGGGCGTCTCTCCTTTGTAATCTTCAAATGACATGTATCAGCCTAGCGATTGGTCAGTTTTTTTTGGTCACCTGAGCTTTAGCTCAAGTGACCTATTGCTATCCGTCTTCGACCGTCGTGCGTCGTCCGTTGTCCGTTAACATTTTACATTTTCAACTTAAGCTGAAATACTGTCAAAGGGATTTCATTGATACTCCATGGGAATGTCACTGACAACTCCCTGACCAAGTGTTGTTATTTTTCGGGTCGATCAGAAATCCAATATGGCCGCCATGGCCGCCATTTTGAAAAACTTTTTCAAATTTAAAGTCAAGTTCTACTGGGGCGATTTAACCGAATAATCGTAGGAATTATCAACTTATGGTCCTGACAAAGTGTTGTTATTTTGCGGGTCGATCAGAAATCTAATATGGCCGCAACGGTCGGCCATTTTGAAAAACTATTTCAAATTTAAAGTCAAGTTCTAATAGGCTGTTTTAACTGAAACTCAGTCTAGGAATGATCAACTCATGGTCCTGACAAACTTAACTTACCATTATACTTAACTTTTTTACTCTAATTTTGGTAGATATGATTGACATCATTATCCACTTCATATTTCAACAAAAAAATATAATACTGTAGGACTCAGGTGACCGTTAAAGCCCATGGGCCTCTTGTTTTTACCGGAGACAAATCAAAGAGTTATTTTCGTGCCTTCAATTTTGCTATAACATAGTTCAGGGGTGTAAAGAGCGAAAGCGAGCATAACCCCTGGATATCGAGGATGACTTGAAGAGGGAATACAGTAATCCGAAGGATATTTTAAAATATGAATGTTGATAGAATAGAAAAACAAAAATCTTGATTCAGGAATAATCCAACGGATTTTCACACACAACGATCCATACTTGGAGTTAGATTTACTCCAATAAAAAATTCCTGAGATAATGAAACTGAAACCAGTGTTGGTTTTGGTGATATTTGGGGGTTTGAATTTAAAATTGTTTCAGGAATTTTTCTATATTTTTTTGCATGATGCATGCAATTTAAGTGCCATTTTGATAAACTTTTGTTCATAAATGATGCTGAAAGTAATATTGTCGTCTCCTGATAATCACATGTTCCTGATTCCAATGACCAAGCTGGACTGGTAAATACCCAGATTTCACCGTATCAGTATTTGGACATGAAAATCATATGCATTTCCAAATATAGTAACTCTTCCTTTACCTGCGCAGTAAGTTAACAATATACATTCATGCATGAATGACCACAATGCTGCATACACACAAATACATCGTCATTGTTAACTTCATAACGTGTACATTGTTCAGTAGCTGTCCATTCTTAACACAAAAAGGTGTCCACTATTAATTCAAAGGGGTACTGTGTGTTAAGTAGGAGAAACGCCTCAAACTGTCCATTCTGTGAGAGAATGAACAGATATCGGCCCTACGGGCCTTGATCAGTTCATATTCTCACAGAATGGACAGTTTGAGGCCTTTCTCCCTAACATAAGGACGTATCAGGTTTTGATGGTGGAGGAAAGCCAGAAAACCCGAAGTAAAACAGTAATAAGTATACCGAAATCCGAATGTTAATGTAACCATCTTAAATAATGACATACAATTTAATTTTTAATGTTTAACTAGGCTTTGAAAAGGGTCCATCCAGTGTCGCATACAGCACTCTTTTCGATTTTTCTTGCCCTCGCTTCTATTAGTCTACAAAGTAGGGTAGTTATGTTTCCCCGTTGCATATACTTAGAGGGAACTGTGACGTAGAATCTGGGTATATGCAGTCATATTGTCTTGACACACGAAATCTTGAGGTTCAACAGGCCCCTAAAATACAGAAAAATCTCGGGAAAATTTCAACATAATAGAATGTCTTGCTTAAAACCCATTTTTAATTTCGATGAACAGATATGCGATTTTGATATATTGAACTTGAAACTTGTGTTATAGAATGCTATTTTGAACATTAAGCTTAGTCTGTGATAAGGCATTATTTTGATATTTTCATGAAAATACATCACCGAAATTATAACGAGTCATTCTCTTGCGTTATCAAATTACAGGATACGAAATGACGCATTATCTAATGTGTATTTGTATACATAGATTATGCGGAGCCAAATTCCCATAAAGCTAGCTGTTAAGGCGTATACCAACTTGATATTGCTAAGGAGCAATAATTTAATAATGAAATTATTGCAGTCAAATTTTCGACAGTTTTTTTCTCTGTTTTAATATTGATATTAGTATTGATAATTGCGAAAAAGACTGGCAATAAGTTCGGAGGTTAATGTTAAATTGATTTGACGATTTTGGAAATAGTTTCAATGTACATTTATATTGACAGAGAATTATTTTTCAAGCAGTGGTGTTGGTTTACGAAAACAGTCCCAAATGAACAATGTAAATTACATTATTCGAAAACTTTGAATGAAACATGCCAAGTGGAGATAAAGCCGTCTGCCGAGTATCAATTTTTATACGTGTACTGTTATAGAAGGATGTGAGTGGTGAAGTTGTGATGATAACAGTATCTGATTTGGCCCTCTCTATATTATAGGAAGTAGTCGTTATATATTTGTTGAAATTGTGAAGTTATCATTTTTCCTTTGCCATTTTATGTTATTTTAAACTAGTTTTACTGCCATGTTGTTTTTCAAAACTTATTTTGCCGTTCAAGATCTGGGTTTTTTCATGTTAAGTGCGATTCTATCACAAGCTTTTAATCGTCTCCATGATAATATTATCTACATTACACCATTTAGCGATACCGTCTTGAAACACGTGTATTGTTGAAATAACGCGAACTACCTGCATACACCATACGAACGAAACGAAGATATCGCGTGTTATAGACCTGGAGTGAGCATAGTATGCAGACGTAAAGAACACTTTAAATATTAACAGATTTAAAGTAAGACTGTAACAAGTTTGAATTAATCACCACCAGCGACATTTTCTACTTGCCAATTGTCAATACATATCATCTCTTATGTATGACTATTAACATTTTGCAAGTTTACCGAGCTTTCGCAAACCAGAAAGTCATTGGGGATGTTGAATTGTGTTCTGATAAAAACGGGTTTATTGGTTTAACAGTAACAGTACAGTAATAATAGGGACTTTTATTTCTCGTAAAGTTTCGAGTTTGGCAGTCCCCTAATATGATATTTCTAGATTTTTTTCCTTGCGCATGTTTATTTTTTGCGTAAGTGTTGTTATGGATTCTGCGGTCAGGAGCGTTGTTGAGACGGGGTTTAGGTCGGTATCTAGTCTCCTGATAGACAAACGAGAAGGAAGAGAAAATGGTCTCTAATTTAAATAACATTTGAAATTAACAATGACTTTTTAAAAGTCAAAACAAGTTTCACAATTGATGGATCCGCCCCTGTCCGGACGTGTAACTTCGTATCATCTACACCGTAACGCGTACTGGGACTCTGATTTTGTCGTATGAAATCCAACGAATACGATTCGATATGTCATATCGAGAAGGGTACCCCTGGGTGTCGAGGTTGTGCGTTTAGTGCCTGAAGATATATGATGCCTACGTCCTACTGTCGCTTGTGTTGTAACTATTACGGATGTTTATAGTGGCATATGGCGTATTGGTTTTTGGAGGGGCTAGCACGCATTCACACGAAATGAATCGTCTACCAAGATTGTTAACTTCAATATTTTATAACATTCATCCTCATTCTTTTATCACGAGTTTTATTACAAAATGATACTCGTAGCAATATATCTGTATTAGCAGGCTCCAGTTCAATAAGATTAAGCATAATACAGTCTCTTGTTTAATATTTTAGAGTTGCGTGGATACTTTTGTTTCTTTAATTGTACTACTTTTAGTGTCCACGTTGAAATAATAAATCGTTGCTCATACGAGGATGTTATTGCGATTTTCAAGTTCCCAATAGATGATCTTAGGACGGATATTCTGTGGCATTATCGGCGTGCTCCTTCGCAGCGATTCTAAAATAAAATTTGAACAAGTTCGAACATGACTATTACCTGTAGTTTCTATGGCTTTTGTTTGAAATATCTTCAGGTCCAGTGAAAGCTGCGATTGGTAACAACATGCTTTTCTCCATCGAAAATAAATGTGATTTTTCAAATTCAGCAATAACGCTTATTGTGTAACCTTGACCTTATCGGTATTTATAGATCTATTTAAACTCGCTAGATATATCTTAACACTACGAATGACAATTTGTTTCTATGTTGAGTTTAAATATCGGCATAAACGGTACAGTAATGTGTAATATAGTCCTTTAAAATATTTCGAAATATCATACGCTGGTATTGAGAAAAAAGTCTCATATCAACTGATTTGATTTGCAATAATCTTGGTGGGTTTTGGTGGTCGTATCAGCATATTACAAAGAGCTATTTTGAAACAAGTTTGATATCAAAATAATGAAACTGAGCAAATATTTCAAAAGTGGTTTCGTTTACTTTTCAAAATGGGTCACCTTCAATATGTTCATACAACAATTTGAACCGTTGGACATATGTTTCACTTTTATTTTAATTTTGTAATTTTATAAAATTGTATTATATCGTTTGTTTATGAAATAATTAATGTACATCATCAAAGTAGGTTTATGATCGATATGTAATTGCAATGATATGTATAAACATATTCACGTGACATGTATTTGTTTTGAGTAACGTATGTATTAACTATGATATACAAAAGAAAAAGGATTGTAACACGGTATTGCCCTTTCCTGCTTGTGCGATGTATTTGAGTACACGGTATTTAAGATACTACTGGAACCCCATGTCTGACACTATCATATGTGTGATTCGTTACGTCAGCAGGGCCTAGTGGATGCTCTATCAAGGAAATCAGTGTGTTTGATTGTATAAGGCTGTCCACATTTGCTATGACCATAGGCTAGTCATACATAACACGTCTACGTCCCAGCAGTGGTACCAATACTGTATTATCTAACATTCTTAGGACTTGCCCCTCCATTGATGTAAACGTTTGGTAACTCGCCCCTATTTGATACCTAGTAGTACTCTCTAGCCTCCATTATACATACCCCCCATCGATACACTATTTTCCCTCCATCACACCGGCTGCATCGGATGCTGAGGGGGAGGTTATACACTTACGAGAGGTACTTGAGGAGCCAGATCGTAAATAGAAATAGTACTGGGACAGTGCTAGTATAAAACGCACGCTACTCATCGCTTGTTGTTAAACGCGAGAGAAAAAACGTGTATATCTGCGCTGTCTTGTATGGATTAACTATTTACTTTTAAATGGTAAATATTCTACATTATCACATATAAGTACTACTGAACCCCTTCAGCGTCAACATGCCATCAGAGGAGAGTGAAACCAAAAGGTAAGTCCAAAAACTTTTGATCATTTGAATAATTTGGATTCCTATTGTTTAACGTCCTATTAACAGCTAAGGTCGTTTAAGGACGCGAATTTGAAACAAAAGAAAACAAAAAATGCTATTTTTATATTAGAACATATCCAGTTGTATCTTTAGCTGTGTTTATCCCGTCATAACGGACTGAGAACATCGGCATAACGGACTGGGAACATCGGCATAACGGACTGGGAACATCGGCATAACGGACTGAGAACATCGGCATATCGCTATGAAATACATCAAATATAGATGATCGAAGTTATACAAAATCGCTTGTTTTTATGGAGTTCCTTTAGTCACCTGGTAGTTTATGTCTATTTGAATTCGGATGTTTCTAATGCAATGTCTGTCTCGACATAATAAGGATATAATAGATTCGACGTTTATCTCGACGTCCTCTCGATATATCTATTTCTTGTCTCTCCTGACATAATACGTATTAATCTAATGCAAACGATATCTCAAAAAGACAAGATTAACTTGATACAGAGTTTTCACGACACTATTAAGGAATATCTAATCTTATTTTTCAAGGGACATTATTTGGATACATCATATTAAACGAATATGGAATACTAACGAGATACCGTTACTATGGTATATAGTACGACATTTGCACCAAGCCAATACATACTGGATGTACTTTCGTATATGTATAAATTAAGTGTAATACGAAGCAAGTCTTCAGCACAACTGTATATTTCTTATAATGATATTTCGAACAAGGTAGTACATGTTTTTCCCATTAGCAATAAACGGTGCATATTGTTTCTGCTGTCCTTAATGAACACTTTTTTAAGCAGTTGCAATGAAACACTGGTATTTGAACAATTATTCTGTACTAAGTAATAACTGAACCGTGATTTAAACAGTCACATTGTATACTTAAGCAATTATAATATACCAATTCACAAAGACTGATTAAGCAATGAATATTTCAGCAAATGTTGTTATGGTCCTATAACACACATTTCTATTGATGACAAAATTAATAAAGCCCGGCAGGGCTCAATAATAATTAAACTGAAATTTAAACAGTCACACTGTATACTTAAGCAATTGTAATATGCCGATTCAAGAAGACTGATTAAGCAATGAATGTTTTAGCAAATGTTGTTATGGTCCTATACACATTTCTATTGATGACAAACTTAATAAAGCCCTGTCCATTGTAACAACGTTAATCACACTTTACATTGTAACAACGTTTATCACACTGTACATTGTAACAACGTTTATCACACTGTACATTATAACAACGTTTACCACACTGTACATTGTCACAACGTTAACCACACTGTACATTGTAACAACGTTTATTACACTGTACATTGTAACAACGTTTATTACACTGTACATTGTAACAACGTTTACCATACCGTACATTATAACAACGTTTACCACACTGTACATTGTAACAACGTTTACCACACTGTACACTGTAACAACGTTAACCAAACTGTACATTGTAACAACGTTTACCACACTGTACATTTTTACGACGTTTATCAATATGTACATTGTTACAACGTTTATCACACTTTACATCATAACAACGTTTACCACACTGTACATTGTAACAACGTTTACCACACTGTACATTATAACAACGTTTACCACACTGTACATTGTAACAACGTTTATCACACTGTACATTGTAACAACGTTAACCGCACTGTACATTTTTACAACGTTTATCAATATGTACATTGTTACAACGTTTATCACACTTTACATCATAACAACGTTTACCACACTGTACATTGTAACAACGTTTATCACAATGTACACTGTAGCAACGTTTACCAAACTGTACATTGTAACAACGTATATCTCACTTTACAGTTTTACAACGTTTATCAATATATGTACATTGTAACAACGCTTATCACACTGTACATTGTTACAATTTCGCTATATCTGCTTATGATGCTTTCTAAACCTTTGTTCGACCCACATGGTAAAGGTATCTTAATATATGGTGTCAACAAAAGTTTGGAAACCATAATAATTTATATACACCAACACAGATGGACTTTTATTTGTACAATCACAGTGTATATTCAAAAACAGTTACGTAAAACATTTTGACTAGTATATTTCACATTCTATTACTAAATCAAATGTCTTCGTGACATGACTGATGCTGTGTTATGCTTTCAAAGTTATACATCTTTACAGATATGCGATATTTCTTAAGTAATGAACCTGATTTATATATTCATATATAAACATTCGTGGTTTTAAGAAGTCATATTATTCTAAAGGGAGCTGATTTTAATTGCAAGCCTTCTCAGCTATCAGAATATACATATATCTTTAAATTTCTTTACTTTAAGAAATTCGTAATGTATATAAAAATACGTTTATACTTTAAGAAATTCTGTCATTGGATTAGTTTAATATTTTACATCAAACTTTTAAATCTATCTGACACTTAATAAGCTATACATGTATAATTCACCGAAATTATTTTTTATTACATTAAGTTCCTCGTTGAATATACTTTTTGCGCACTTGATGAAATCGAATACCTGGCGAACATTATATACAGTATATACAGTATATGATATAACGTCTGTACATTAGATCATCAGAACTAAATGTATAACGGAACAGAAGCTACTTTGAGGACTGACCCTTTGTAGGTACGAGATAGTGGGGCTCAAGGCAAACGTTTTAGCTATTACAGATGCGATCTACTTAAGGTTGAGTTGTAGACACGCGGTGGGAGGGGGTGATCGGATAAGGATCCCGAAACATTCTTTAACAAGCTAAATAAAACGGCCGTTACCCTAGATAATCTCTTCCCCACCTTCAGTATTGAACCATTAAATCGTAATATGTTCAAGAAGTTTCATATTTCGGTAGATTGAGAAGTAATTTGATACCTCGTATATCCTCGGTTGTTGGAAGTTTTGAGATTTTTTAACATAAACAAATTGTGTAGAGATTTCGATACTATGCAACGTCAGTAAAATTTGCAAGTTGTGTTTTGGTCGCGTTTAATGCTATTTAGTTCATAGCAAAAACTTTAAAATGTAAAAGAGTTGTACATGTAACAGCTGTTGATTGGCTACATTTTCCTGGGTCATCAATATATCCAGGGAAAGGTTTCAAAAAATACGATTTTTCTGCTCCTCAGAATTATGTGTATACCGAGGGTTGCTATTTACCTATTAATCACAGTTCGCTGAACCAGGAAATCAGGATCCTAAACAATTATTACAGCTTTCTCGCCACCCGCCCACTTGTCCCTGCTACACAGTCAATATTGAAAACTCATTAACAATTTAGTGGAAGTGTGTTCCGGGGTATGTGGTAATGTGTTACATCACTTTCTATCAGGATTAGGGGTAGAATGTAACACAAATCTACAAGTAAACAAGATGTTGTCATATACTCACATGTCTACCAGTGTTAGTGTTAATGTTACACATTATTATCTATCAAGATTAGGGGTAGAATGTAACACACATCTACAAGTTAACAAGATGTTGTCATATACTTACATGTCTACCAGTGTGAGTGGTAATGTGTTACATCACTTTCTATCATGATTAGGGGTAGAATGTAACACACATCTACAAGTAAACAAGATGTTGTCATATACTTACATGTCTACCAGTGTGAGTGGTAATGTTACACATTATTATCTATCAGGATTAGGGGTAGAATGTAACACACATCTACAAGTAAACAAGATGTTGTCATATACTTACATGTCTACCACTGTGAGTGGTAATGTTACACATTATTATCTTTCAGGATTAGGGGTAGAATGTAACACACATCTACAAGTAAACAAGATGTTGTCATATACTCACATGTCTACCAGTGTGAGTGGTAATGTGTTACATCACTTTATATCAGGATTAGGGGTAGAATGTAACACACATCTACAAGTAAACAAGAGGTTGTCATATACTCACATGTGTACCAGTGTGAGTGGTAATGTGCTACATCACTTTATATCAGGAATAGGGGTAGAATGTAACATAGATCTACAAGTAAACAAGAGGTTGTCATATACTCACATGTGTACCAGTGTGAGTGGTAATGTGCTACATCACTTTATATCAGGAATAGGGGTAGAATGTAACATAGATCTACAAGTAAACAAGAGGTTGTCATATACTCACATGTCTACCAGTGTGAGTGGTAATGTTACACATTAGTATCTATCAGGATTAGGGGTAGAATGTAACACACATCTACAAGTTAACAAGATGTTGTCATATACTTACATGTCTACCAGTGTGAGTGGTAATGCTACACATTATTATCTATCAGGATTAGGGGTAGAATGTAAAACATATTCATATACTTAATTGTAATTTGACCTAAGGATTGAGCTCAGAAAATACAAAAAATCGAAACAGATTCCGTATATTATATGATATCAAGGTTTTACTTTTTACACAAACAATGTTCGTATCAAACGTGTCGCAACGTTTCAAGACCGACTGGTCCCTTTGTCAAGTTATGACTATACAAAAACAATGTACGTATTAAACGTGTCGCAACGTTTCAAGACCGACTGGTCCCTTTGTCAAGCTGTGACTGAGTGTGCGATTTGTATTATTTACCGGTACAAAGATGTGACGAAATTGTATGTCACGGGTCGAGAGACATAAAAAAAACAACTTTTGCCTATCGTTAGGAAGCGTATACGTATTGCATCAGATAGATTGTAGGTAAGTTACGCAAAACATCCGCCACCCAGTACAATAGATCGGCATTAACAGATCACGCTAACACCCAAAGTCACACCGTCGATTAGGACAATGCCAAGATAGTTGAAAGAGAAGAACACACAAAAACGAAACAAATCAAGGAAGCAATCAAAATCAGGAAAACTCAAGGCATTAACAGAGACGAGGGGGGCCACGATCTGAGTCATATGTGTGACCCGATACTGACATAACAGTGTGTATACAATTCGTCACATCGTTGTACAGGTA